TCTATCTATCTATCTATCTATCTATCTATCTATCTATCTATCTATCTCTCCATCTCTCCTTCCATCCATTTATCCACCCAACCATCCATTCTTCCATCCCAAGAACTCATTCTTTAAATCTCCCTCTCTCTCTCCCTCTCTCTCTCTCTCTCAACTTTGGGAGAGGTCCCACTTGCCTGAGCTCCCGGGGCAGAAGCCGAGTGGAAGGGACGAGGCCCAGGTTAAAACTTCTGCTAGCAGAAGCGGACACAAAGGCCCCGAAGAGGAACTCCGGGCTGGCCCCTCCTGCAACCGACGTGTGTAAATAGATTTTGATGTCAATTTACAGGAAGAGAAGCAATAACCTGCCCCACCAACCACAGAGCGGAGAGCCTGCTGGCTGTGCGAGTTATTAGCCGGGCACACGTGTCGTGTATCCCGTTTCATCAAATGAAGAGAGCAAAGCCGACGTTTTTGTCGCTGGCAATACAGAAAAGGCTTCCAGGATTTTCTGGTCCCTATTTTGGAAAAATTGGAAGGTGTGCAAACAAATTAACGTAACCGGCAAAAGTGCACAGAAACTGACAAGGTGGGAAACGCAGAAGGGAGGCGCAGTAGGAGGAGGGAGAGGGAGGTGGAAAAGGGAGGAGGAAAAGAAGGGGAAGAGGAAAAGGGGGGGAAGGAGGAAGAGGTAGGAGAGGAGGAGGAGGAGGAAAAAGGAAGAGAGGGAGGAGAGGAGAGGAGGCGGAAGAGGGGGAGGAGGAGGAAAAGGGAGGAAGGGAAGAGGAAGAGAAGAAGGTGGAGAGGGAGGAGAAAGGAGGAGCAGGAGGAGGATGGACAGGGAGGTGGAAAAGGAGGGAAGGAGGAAGAGGTAGGAAAGGAGGAGGAAAAAGGAGGAGAGGGAGAGAGGAGAGTAGGAGGAAGAGGGGGAGGAGGAAGAAAAGGGAGGAGGGGGAAGAGGGAGGAGAAAGGAGGAGGAGGAGGAAGAGGTAGGAGAGGAGGAGGAGGAGGAAAAAGGAGGAGGAATGGGAGTCAGGTCAGCATCAGGGCAGCCTGGGAGCTCCGAGGAGGAAGAAGGAATGGAACTGGCGGAAAGAGAAAGAGAGAGAGTAGAGAGAGGGGGGAGAGAGTAGAGAGAGAGAGAGAGGCGGAGCCTGAACCACCCATCAGCCCTCAGATGGAGAGTCAACAGCCCCCAGGTCTGGAAATGGCTGATGAAGAAGAGGAGGAACACCTGGGTCCAGTGCCCGACACGCAGATGCACAGAAGGCAGAAGAGAGGAGAGCAGTGGAAATCTATGGGCCGGTCCTTGGGACGGAAGAGCCGCCGCTGCTAGCGAAGCCCCACCCGAGCTCTGGGGATCAAAGGCAGCGGGCGGAGGTGAACAGGGGTGGCAGACTTGTCAGCCTGCAGTGAGGAAGAAACTGTTTTGCCGGAGCTGCCGGCACTCCTAATAAAGGAATCATTGATTTAAAAAACAGAGGTTTTCTCGTGTCTGGGGAGCTGGGTCAGAACAGTTAGTCCTTGACTTACAACAGTTCATTTAGTGACCTTTCAAAATTACAAAGCCACTGAAAAAAGGGACTTATGACCGTTTTTCGCCCTTACGACTGACGCAGCATCCACCATTCAGCCACTTGGCAATTGACTCATATTTATGACAGTCACAGCATCACGCGATCCCCTTTTGCGACCTTCCGACGAGCAATGCCAACTGTGTGTGTGTGTGGGGGGGAGTCAGAGTCACATAACGACCGTGTTCCGAACTTGACAACTGCAACGATTCCTTTAACAACGGTGGCAAGAACTGTTGTAAAATGGAGCCAAACTCACTCAACAAACCTCTCACTTAGGAACAGAAATCTGGGGCTCAGCTATTGCGGTCATGGAGCCGAGGATTGGCGGATCTCCAAATCTACCCTTTCAAAAGAAATCCGTGAATCCCATCTCCGTAAAATGCCAACCGCCGCTCTTCCTCGCGCAGGTCACCGCAGGAAGCCAAACAAACCAGAAAAGCTGGGAAAACATTTGATCGGGAACGAGAGCAGCCACTAGCCGTTCCCAAGGCTGCTAAGCCCCGAAGCGAACGCTTAAATCGTTTTTCCTCCACTGAGTTGGCTCGGCGTGTAAAAAAAATGTGCACTGGGGGTTTCTAGCGACAGCCGCAGGGAACGATTCCCACCAGGAGACCCTCAAAAGAATCACCTACTGTATTCCTCTTCGGCTGCATACCTAAATAAAGAAGTAAAATCAATAAAACTTAAGTAAATGAAATAAAACTGAAATCTATCTTCTATATAAATAAAAGCGAAAGACACCCCCCCACACACCCATGGATCATCACAAAATCTTCAGAACCGTAAAGGCCACAACCTTGAAATTTGGCCCGTAGGTTCCTCTTGGCTTCTAGGGGCTCACTAAGAAAGGATTTGTCAATCCTTTAGCATTTAGAGCACTTCCTACATTATTATTATTATTATTATTATTACTATTATTATTATTATTATTATTATTATTATTATTATTATTATTATTATCACACTCTGACGCTAAGGAGTTCTATTCCTTCTCTCCACCTGGAAAGAAATCTCTTCCAAAGGCGAAACACAAGCAAAGGAGTTTCACTTTCACAGCAGCCACCAGTTTTAGTCCAGAACAGTTGAGCTAAGCCACGCCCAGGTTCCTTGCTGTCTCCTCCTTGCTCATACAGCAAACACTGTCTCAGTTTCCAAACAGCCCTCAACTCTCTCACACACTGACGGGACGCTAGCCAAATGAATACTGATGGATGCTGGCAGGCAGAGGCAGAATTTTTTCCCCCTTCTTTTCCTCCCCCAAAACTAAACCCAACTACGTAATTTCGTAGCAAAGCACGGGGATCAAGCTAGTAAATAATAATTTTTACAAAAGGAGTCCCAAAACGTTCCAAACCGTGCCTTGGTGCGCGTTGCAATATCTGCGACATCTCCGGCGATATTTGCAAGAAACTTTGAAGTTAGTCCTCGGCTTACGACCCACAATTTACCGTAAAATTTCTATGGCTGCATCGTGTTGCTACCATCGTACCACCTTTCCTGCCACGCTTATTAAGTGAATCCCGGGGCCATCCATCAGCCCTCGGATGGAGAGTCAACA